CGACTGATTCGCCGCTAGTCATCATCCCGACGGTCACAGTCGTAGTCATAACGTTTATCATAAGCGAACCTCATGATGATCAACGAGCGCCAACCATCTGTAATCGCCGAGGCTTCAAATATAACACTGGCGTGCAGCCGAAGCTGCTTGACTGCTTGGCTGCCTGACTGCCTGACTGCTGCCAGTGACATTGTCTTAAAGCAACTGTGCGGCTCGCATAAAGATACAGATATAGATACAGATACAGATATAGATGCGCACGCAATATTATGGCATCAGCAACAGCAACAATGACACGCTCGCAGCAACACAAGGAAAGTTTTCTTATGCAAAACTTTGTATACACTTTCCTACAGCAGTTGACCCCAGACAACAACTACACGCCACAATATAAGCCAAGCCATATTTGTATTCTAAATGGTTTCGCTTAAGGCATAAATAAATATCTATATATATTTATATATGTATGCAATGAAGGTCAGAGTTGTGCAGGCGCCCATTAAATATATTAACTTGCCATCGTCATATTGTATTCTTTATGTGAACGTGTCGATTATAGAGATTAAAAATCTGATAATTCGTTAAACGTGTGTCATCAGATTGTTAAGAAATAAACAACGAAATTGCAGGCAACCAGACTTGAAGACTTTACATTGACACGTATATGGAACTGAATATCAAACCGATTTTGTCGAATACGAGATACATATATGAACATATATATATATAAATAAATGTATATGCACATAGTCAGGAAGAAGTCTAAGCATGAAGTCGAGATTTCTGCATTTGAGCTATTTATTCTAAGAATGCGAAATTCGATTCGAGTCTTATTGAACTTATCAGTTTTCCATTCCATCCCGAAGCTAGGTATAATTACATCTATATTTAGCTAGTGGATAATTGCTATTGTTGCTGCATACGACTTTAATTATTGAACAATATAAAATGTGTATGTATGTAGATGTGTTTTGTGTGGCTTGTGGCACGTGCTTTTGTTGCCGCTGACACAATTTGTGGAGCTAAATAATTTCCATGCCTGGTGCTTGGCCATTGTGCGGTTTGTTTTTTTCTTTTCATTTATTAACTCGGCTTTTGTTGTTTTTGCAGTCGCTTTGAATATTCGCCGAGAGCCGCGCAAATTGTTGCAGTTGCTGCACCGATTATGTGGCATTTGGGTCACGGGGTTGTATGGATATATGTGCAGCATATCTAATCATCCGCCAGCCTTGCTGCAGATGATGTTAAGCCTAAGACAGCACCAAGGCAAGGCCAAGAGGGCACGTTCTCCAATGCCAATTTCGATTCCCATTCCAATCGTCAACTTCAAGTCCAAGGCTCAACTTCAACTCCAGCTGCAAAACCATCTTAGGCCGAAGTCAAGTTCAAAGTCGAATCGAGTCGAGTCGAGACAAGGAAGTGAACAATACGATAAACGGACGAGTAATAAACAAACACAATTGGTAAATAGACACCAAAAAAACACTGTTGTTTCTGTTGTCAATAATTATTAATTTGTTTTCATTTTGCTTTGGCACCTTTTTTGTTAAGTACACATTCGGCCATCTGAGCCCCCGACAACCTCCAGCCGCAGATCAAGCAACGCCAAATGCCACTCCATTCACATCCACAGCGCTCGTCCGTACATACACTACATTACACATATTGTTTTTGTTGTTTTTTGTTTTTATTTAGTTAACTTGTCTTTGGTTACGAACGTGTCGCTCTAGACATTGAAGCACTTGACATACAAACCTTAAGCTGAGACTTTTGTTTTTGAATCCTTAAATGAAAATACCTGAAACGCTCAGTGAATAAGGTATTGCTACAAGCTCACAATGTCTGACCTAAACAGAATTGTTTCTCTCTCGCTTACCCTTTTCTGTCTCCATCACTCGCTCTTCTCGTTTATTGCAGCTTCTTTAGCTTGCCAACCCTATTCCTGCCTCGATTCCTGCTCTCATTCTTTCTACTATCTGCCATCTCCTACACACTCTCACAGCCACTCAGCTACCTTTCGCCTTTCTATGCGATTCTCTTAGTCTTATCTTCATCATCAAGTGTCCTATTCCTATTCCTCCCACTTTGATACATCGCTTCCTGCTCTCATTCTCTCTCGTTTCTGTCATCTCCTACACACTCTCACAGCCAATAATAACTAATAACTATCACCTTTCTATGCGATTCTCATAATCATTAGGCTTTGCGATCCTTATAAGTTTAGTCAGTCAATATTATATAGCTTTTTATAATTTGTATTTTTATTCGCTTTTATGTATCAATAATTTTTCAAGCCTTAAATAGCAGTTTACAGGAAAACGCTTAAAGCTGACTTATTTAGGGGTCATTGTTGAGCTAGCTTTGCAGGGGATCAGCTCCGAGGTCAGCCATGTAACCAGGTGATTCAATTAAATGCGCTATATGCATTATAACGTCAATCAAGTTTTTTCCCATCTCACTCTCTCTCTCTCTCTCTCTCTCTCTCTATCTGTTTCTCTGTCGCTATCTTGCAACATTTTTCTACGCGTTCGACTTTCAAAATTGCGCAGCGTGAAAAACATTGAATGAAAATGCGATGAGGAAGTTGTTGCTGTTGCTGCTGCTGCTGCTGCTGCTACGCTTCCCAATCCAAACAGAATCTTTTTCCCTAGCCAGCATTGTGCCTTAAATGTTTTGATTCCACTTACCACCGGAGTCAAGTCACAAACTGGTTTATCGACTTTTCGTTTGTTCTATACACACACACACATATACAGGCACACAGGCTGCAGGTACTGGACGGCAACATGGGAAATTAACTTGGCCTGATGATCGCCAAGCCAAGTTAAGTCAGCTGAAGTGGAATTAAGTCATGAACAAGCCGCATTTGGCTTTCAAAATGTGTATAATAATATTATATATCTTTGCCTGACAAATAAGTCTGAAAAGTCATCGAATGTTATTTTTGAGCAAATCACTTTAAGAACTAATGCATTCGATTTAACGAGCGACTACTGTAATCAGTTTTGCAGCTATCTGCGACTTTTGCAACAGCGATGACTCAACAGAGAAGTCTTCGCTGATTAGATAAAAGCCATTGGCACATGTCAGCTGATAGATATACTGCCTGATATAGACTATAGTCAATTAGTATGTTAGATAGTAGCGTTAACTGATACGAAATATTGTTTTGCTGCGTCTTTTGTTCGTGTTTTGGCATCTGAATTCGAATCAGAATCTGAATCAGTGCATGATAGACTTCAAGACTTAATTATTTATTACAATGTGTTTAGTGAATTAACACTGTAATTTAGAACTGCTATATCTAACTGTAAAGCCAGCTAAACGGCGCGCAAAACTGCATTTTTAATTATGCCCGACAGCAGCAGCAAACATTCAGAAGGCTCATAGTAAAATGCTTAAATATAATAACTATTTCAATTGTTGTTGTTAGCTGTTTTTTGACAACAAATAAACCAACTCCAGTCAATTTACACACATGACAAAAAGACAACAGAGCAACAAAAAGCAAAAGCAAAAGCAAAAGCAATCTGTAAGAATGCTTAACGCATCGCACTTTGAATGCTCTAACTTTGCAAATATAAGTAAATATAGATTATGCTGGTTGGAATAATATAATATTGTCAAATTTATTGGATTTACTACCAAAATTATAAGCAAGTGAGAAAGATCTGAGAGTACATTATCATTTTTTAAAATCTATATAAAGCTTAGATTAAGTAACTCCCATATAGTATAGTATATATATACATATATATACATACAAGCATATAGTATAGAAATCGAAATAGCAGTGCACAGAACTCAATCTGGAATGGGTCTTAAGAGGGTTTCATTCCGAACTGTGACCCAATTGCAAGAGCTCGAACACTTGACCTCATTTAGCATGCAAATGAAGGGTAGCTTGGCTTGGTAGCTGGTATTTTCAATATACTTAGACATCAATTATGGCTGAAACGAATTCATTAAACTCGTCTGGTTGCCAAAGCAGCAAGGATTTATGCATATATTTTGAGGCAAGGAGCTGCAGAGTTTAAAGGCAAAAATCCGGCTGCCCAGGCAAAAATTTTTTGTTTTGTTGTTCCGTTGCTAAGTGCGTTTCCAATTGCGTTGTTTGCAATTGCCAGCTGCCACAACAGCAACAGCAACAACAATAATAACAACAACAATAACAAGAACTACTTAAAGTCAACAACAACAAGAAAGCAACGGGTTTTAATGCTTTGGGTGCTTTGGACACGCTCGACTAAGTAGGCGCGCGCATTTAACGGTGTTTTATTATTTTAGCGCTTATTGTTGTGCCCGCTGCTGATGCACTAAGCGCAATATGTATATATTATATATATATATATATATATACGTATATGTAATTATTAAAAACAATTACAAGCATGTGTGAAATTACCTGCAATTTCAATTGCACAAAGCGGCGCGCATAATTGCTAAGTTCTCTAATTGCTGCGGATTTTATTTTTTGTTCTCGTCCTTCTTGGCAGCACAAACACAAAGGGGCAAAAACAGAAAAAAATACGAAACAAAAAGAATTAAAGAAATGTACGAGAAAACTCACACGCACATGTGTTTATATCTAAATAGGAAAGTGTGAGCGAAACAGGAGCAGGACTTGCCGTCTCTTTGTTGTTTGACTTTTGCACGAGCGTGCTTTATTGATTTTTAGCACAGGTTCACGTCCCCACACACAAATACACACACATACGCACACAGAAGCACGAGCGAAAAGGCACAGGCAGGAACACACCCTGCTGATAGTGCAGCAACGGCATGTGTATCTGTCTCCCTAGGATACAAAGTGTAAATAGCAGCAGCGTGCGCTAATTAGGTTGGACACTGGCAGCAGCAGCAGCCGCAGCAGCAGTTCAATTCAAAAGTCAACTCACATCGGCAAGTGTATAGGTCGAGCCTTTTGGCCATAAGTTAATGCAAAGCGGTCCAAAATTTCAGTTAAAACACATTGACAATAGCGCATGATGTTAACTCACTTTTATTTATTCCATTTTTTTTATTTGTTAACCAACAAACAATTTACAAATATTCGCGCGCGTCAAATTGCACGCAAAACAACAAAAAAAATAATCACACACTTTAAACGCGCGCAACGGTCGCGGTCCGCTGTACGTCCGATTCGGTCGGTATTGTGTTTTCTTCTGTAACTAACGGCGGGCGGCTAATCGTTATCGACATACTGTTGGCCCAGTCGAAAATTATCGAAGCATCGTTTTCTACAATCGATAAGTCTGTCTACAGACATCGCTGAAATAGTCCATCACTAACGGCTTCTACTTTTTTTATCGAGTTATAAATGCATTTACTACCAGGAAGAAAGTGAATATGTATTAAATGGTAATTTACCGTGTGAAACTTGCAAAATGGATGTGTGCTTTTAGAATAAATGTGTAACTAAAATAGTTCTTGTTGTGTTGTGCATAAACCCAAATTAAATAAATGTATTTATTCCGAGTCGGGGGTGAATCGCCACCCAAAAAGATAGAAAATACGCATTGTTATGCTGCCCGTTAATGTTGTTGTTGCTGTTGTTGTTGCTGCTATTACTGGCGGGCAGGTTAAATGTTCTTGGTGGGGAGCTATACGGCTATTGTCGTTCACACAAAACCTTGCAAATATATTGATTTTTAACAATACTCGAGCCAATACCACGCACACACTGTCAACCAATACACACACTCATATATTTGCATATACATTTATATATGTGTACATACATGTTTATATATGTATATATATGTAAATGTATATGCATATGTATGTGTAAATGACGCTTTTTGATGTCATCTAATTCGCAATCGCTTCGCTGCGCTGCCCCATAAGATAAGTAGACATTGACAGATGGTCGCGCTGCATTTTGAGTGGGGGGGGGGGGGGATACCAATGAAATCCATAAGCAAAACAACCGGCGGCTGCAGCGTCCTATTTGGGGTCCAGCCATACAGTGCATTTTAGATATAGTTAACAGCAGTTGCAACATATGAACATAGCTCAGGTTGGAAAATCCTAAAATCAATGCTTAATACGAAATCAGTGCAAAAAATTCAATAAAAAAATTATGAATCATTCTGATGAATAAATGCAAAACGGTGAATAATGAAATCATAATGATTATAAGTCGTTTCACGCAATGTTGTACTTTTTTAAAGACTTGTTTTTTTTTTTACTTTCACGTTAACTGTAGTCTGGCTCTTTATAGCGAACGCACACTGTAGATGTGGTTTGACTCATATTACACGCGCAGTCCCACGGCATTGGTTTCTGATGCGGCAGCATCCTAGGGGCTAACTGCCCGAACCATACTGTTTTTAAGGCCAAGTTTACGTGCGCAAAGCCTCATATGCGCAAACATTCAGACAGTGGGAGTGAAAAGTACGTTTATGCGTACGTACGTGTGCCCGTTTTCGATGTTGACAAATTGGAAAGTGCAATCAGTGTGTGCCTTGATTTTGTGCCAACGGCAAATAGCAACAATAAGAAAAATAATAACTACGGCAATTGCATCAGCTGGGTAGCTGCATTTGCCATGATTCAGAGTTAACTCACAGTGTTAGATCATCACAAGGCTGTGAGGTGTGCACAAATAATTGTTTCGCTTATGCTAATCAAAGTTGTCTTTATGTCTGTTATCTTCTTTCAGGCAACTGACTCCAAGCATAGCATGTCAGCGGCAGTTGAATTTACCACTGGCTGCTGAAAGGTAGACTTAAGACTTGCGCAACAAAGCGTCGTCAGGAGTAGTTGACTATCAGGCAACGCTTGAGATGAATTCGTGCAGCGACAGTAGCAACGAGTCCATGGAGCGGAATGTCAATCATGTTGCATCGGGCGCTCACTCGGAGCTGCACATGAACTTTGGCGCAGCGTGCAAGCCAGTTTCACAGGAGCGTTACGTCTGGGAGATGCGCACACGTAGCCCAAATGTGACGCCAGCTAGTACTGTGTTAAACTCACCGGATCTGAACGCTGAGCTGCAGTATGCGCCAATGCATCATCACCAGGCATTTGAGCGGGTGTCGCCGCCGCATCAACTGCCTGGATACATGTCCTCGCAGCACCAACAACAGCAGCAGCAGCAGCAGCAACAGCAGTCGGGGTACTATTACCAGCGTCCGCATCCACACCAGATACGCTTGGGCCGCAGCCCAGGCAGCAGTCAGTTTGAGCCAGAGGTACGAAGTTAAAAACTTTGCACAGTTGCTTAGTTGCATTTATATGGCTCTTTTACCTGTAGGGGATAGCGAGTCCCGGCTCGCCAACAGATGTGGGGAAAGCCGATGGGCAGTGTTTGCGCGATGGCGAGATTGTTGTGTTTGACGACATCGACACAAACTGGATGAATAAATCGGCAGCACTAACAGCCGCAGAAAAGGACAGCAATGAGGACGTTCTAAAGGTCACCAAGATGATTGGCCAACTGCCCATAGCCGAATATGAGGGCTCCCCGCGTCGTTTTGGCAACCAGCAAGTGGCTGCCAAGGGTGTTGGCTTTCCAAGGCGAGCACCTGGCTTTCCACAACGGGTCTCACCTATCAAACAACGATTGGATAATAACGGTAAATCATCCGTTGGCAATCTTATCGATCTGATAGATCACGAGGGTACGTCCGCAACGGCAACCTCGAAGACACCCACTTTTGATTATCTGTACGAGTTCTCTGAGACTCGTAAAGTGCTTGAGGAGTTCTTCAAAGGCAACCCCGATGACGACGAGAAACGATTTACGGACTACACAACGGAAAGTGGAGACGACGTGGCCAGTTCGGTAAGTCTCTAAACGTCACAAGAAACTGAAATTTTAACCGAATAGCTCCCATTTACAGGACACACAGCCGCGCGTGTGCGATGTGGATAAACATGTCGAGCAAGCCTACATTGGCCAACGACTAGCTAGAATACCCAAAGACGAACTCTACATGGTCCATCGTTCGCCCAGGATGCAGGTCAGTTGCTCAATGGGTCCATGTCTCTTTAGTTTCTGCTGTCCTACTTTTATTGGCCAAGTCTTTTGGGCTATGTCTTATTCTCAACTGAAAACTTTCGAGCTAATGCAGACTTGTTTTTATTTACAGCCAAGCGAACACAATGCCTACCAGGAGCACAACGACATCGAGCTGTACATCGATTCGAACAGTCGCAGTAGCGGCGACCTGGCCGACACAGAATTGGAGGCGAATCTGCGACGACATTCGCGTAATTTTACGCTGTCGCCAGAGACGACGGATTACGATTCGAATTGTGGCGATTTGGACAGCCTATCGAATGATATCAACTGCACCACAACCGATTATGGCAAGCTCTACACCAGCATGCCGGTGCTAGAGGATGGACTTAGCAGTGGTCATGCCTCGGATACTGAGAACAATGTATCCGTCGTCTGCGACAAGCCGCAGCAACCTCAAACACAGCTTCAGCCGCAAGAGCAGCTTAGCCAAATTAATCCTGAGCACGAGCACAATGGCAACAGCGACAGCGAGCGACTACAGAACGAACACAACGGCGTCGGACCGACAGAGGCAGTAGCGGCAGATAACGCGCAGCCAATCGAGTTTGTAACAGCGCTGCCAGCGCAAACGCCGTTGCCTGTATCGCCAACGGCCACGCCACCGCCGGAGCAATATGAAGAGCCGCAGCCACAACTGCAGCTTATCGATGGCAATAATGCTGATAGCGACAATCCCGCAGACACACACTACGGTCCAGTTTACGCAGCAGCCATGGCAGCAACTGCAAATGCGACTGTGACAGCTGGCAACAAGCCAGCAGTAATCGCACCGCCAGTCGAGATACAAGAGGCCATGAAAGAGATACGTTCAGCGTTGCAGCGCGCCAAATCACAGCCGGACAAACTGAAGTTCTGCGATGAAGTGCTGCCCGCGGATCCGGATTCGCCGGTGTGGGTGCCACGCAAGAACGCAACAACAACGGCAACGGCTACGCGCCACGACGAGGAGGAAGCCGACACTGACCTTGAAACGGATCGGCTACTAGGCGAGAAGGATTTCTTTGCAGAACAGGTCAGCGAATACTGAATTCTAATGTCCATTAGCAGAAGTGATCAATTGCTTTCATTTTTGTAGACCCTGGCACTAGCTGGAGCCGCTGACAACAATGCCAACGGCTTGATCAATAACAACAGCAGCAGCCTAAATATCAGCGACAACAATAGCAATCCCAAGCCGCAAACGTACTCGTCGGCCACCATACGGCAGGGCATCGGCACCTCGTTAACACACAACTCTCCGGACATTTGCCAGATTGTGGGCAATGCGGATGTCTCGATCAGCTCGCCGGAGAAACTGCAATATACAAAGAGTCCAACGGGATCAATCAAGTCGATAAAAGATGCGGCCAACAGCGACAAGAAAACCCATTCGCGAAATAAGGAAGGTATGCAAGTATGAACGTGTGCGTGGCTGTGTGGGTGACTGTATTTGTGCGTTGTTTAAAAAACGCCCCATAAAAAAAACGAACAATGATTTTACTCTCTGTTGTCTTCTGATTCAATTTTTTGACTTTCACATTTTTTCTTTGCCAACTGCTGCATATTGAAATTTTCATTTGTGTTTGATGGTGTGATGTCTGCCATGTAAGTGGATGTGCTCTCTCTCTCTCTCTCTCTCTATCTCTCTCTAGCACTGTATCTTTCTTTATCTGTCTCATTATCTTAGCATAACTAAGTAAATGTAGTTTGCTTAGCTCTAGAAAAACAATGCTTATAATAAGGGAACTGTAACAACTGAATAGTTAGATGACGAACTTATGATTAAAATGACTAAAAATAGGAATTATAAGTTAGCTTTAAACACTATTGTTATCTAATGATGCCCTTGTCAAAGAAGGCATAGAAAAAATTGCTCTTTTAGAAAAAAATAGACTACAAGATAAAATATGGATAGTTTGAAACGGAAAGGTCGAATATGGATGGCTTTTCCGTATGACGAGGCTCTAAGTGGATACCAGATGAAAAGCTTCTTTAAAATTGATGACAATTTATATTGCACTTCAGATAACATAATACTGATTAGCGTTAATCGAAACTTAATGAAATCTTGTGTTAACAGTTCCCTTGAGCTTATAATATATATGTAAATACATATATATATATATATATAACTGTAAGGTACTGTATTGAAGTTAGTTCAGCAAATATAACTATTCCCTTGTTTCGTTTTTTAGATAATAGACTTTTAAGCAAAACACATCTTAAATGCTCTTTTCGAATTGATCAGGTTTCTTGGAACCCAAAGTGCTTATTGAAGGCGTACTTTTTCGTGCCCGTTATTTGGGATCCACGCAGCTAGTGTGCGAGGGTCAGCCGACCAAGTCGACGCGTATGATGCAAGCCGAGGAGGCCGTATCCCGCATAAAGGTGTGTACCATTAGTTCACTGTCCATTTGTCCAGTTGCGTTCCATTTAGAATATGCTTGGTCAATTGTTGCTCTGTCTATAATGCATCTCGCTTTTCTCGCCCACACCCCTAACTTAACCCATGCTGCGTTATCCTCGATATCTTTAGGCTTTGGTAAGCAACAAACACTAAATCAAAACTTAATACCACAAAATTGTGTTTGAAATCGAATTTCAACTAATGTACGACTCGGTCTTATTTGTTGCCAGGCGCCAGAAGGCGAGAGTCAGCCAAGCACCGAAGTGGATCTGTTCATATCAACCGAGAAGATAATGGTGCTTAATACGGACCTCAAGGAAATCATGATGGATCACGCTTTGCGTACCATCTCCTATATAGCCGATATTGGCGATTTGGTAGTGCTTATGGCGCGACGACGCTTCATACCCAATGGGGGTGGTGTTGTCGTTGATTCCCTTTCGACTTCGAGCCCTGGCGAGACCATCGAGGGCGAGACGTTGAAGGAGAACGGCGGCAACAACAAAGAGACCGGCTCATCCAATAAACACAATCGCACGCCCAAAATGATATGCCACGTATTCGAGAGTGATGAGGCACAGTTTATAGCCCAGTCCATTGGACAGGCGTTTCAAGTAGCCTACATGGAGTTCTTGAAGGCCAACGGCATTGAAAATGAGAATTTGGCTAAGGAAATGGATTACCAAGAGGTGCTTAACAGTCAAGAGATATTCGGCGATGAGCTGGAGATATTCGCCAAAAAAGAGCTGCAGAAGGAAGTGGTTGTGCCCAAGGCGAAGGGCGAAATTCTGGGCGTTGTAATTGTGGAAAGTGGCTGGGGCTCAATGCTGCCAACGGTGGTTATCGCCAATCTTATGTCCGGTGGTGCAGCCGCTCGCTGCGGCCAGTTAAACATTGGAGATCAGCTAATTGCCATTAACGGCATGAGTCTTGTCGGTCTACCGCTATCCACCTGCCAGACCTATATACGCAATGCCAAAAATCAAACTGCCGTCAAGTTTACCGTAGTGCCCTGTCCGCCTGTCGTTGAGGTGAAAATTCTGCGTCCCAAGGCGCTCTTTCAGCTTGGCTTCAGCGTGCAAAACGGCGTGGTAAGTGGGATGCGTCAACCTTTGTGTCGTAAAACAGTCACCAAGATTTTCGTACTCCACAGATTTGCAGCCTCTTGCGTGGCGGCATCGCTGAGCGCGGCGGTGTACGAGTTGGCCATCGCATCATAGAGATTAACAATCAAAGTGTGGTTGCTGTGCCCCATGATACCATTGTGAAGTTGTTGTCCTCATCTGTGGGCGAGGTACACTCACACATATAAATATTTATACATATATTTGTACATATGTGACTAAATTTACAAACTTCTTATTAATTTTTCTTGATAGATTTTGATGAAAACTATGCCTACGTCCATGTTTCGTCTGCTAACCGGCCAGGAGACGCCAATTTATATCTAATTCAAGCGTTATATAATTATGCTTATGCACCTCTCAGCACAGACACTCACACGCACACACACACAGACACGCATACGAGCAGAGATACACAAAGATAGCTCAAATGTCTGTTGTTTATACAGTCCAACATGCCTAAATTGAATTATCTGAATGTACTTTTTATTTAGCCAAGCACCACAAATGACACTCAAACTCAACTAAAGTTGCAATTACTAAAACAAGGAACTAGCCATACTCATCCAATAATACTAAGCACTCGCTGAATGTAGCGCGCTTAAGATTTGCTTTATTTGAACTTTTTTTTTCTTCAATGTTTATTTGTTCTATGTATATGAAAAAGACTGAATTTTGTGTTTGCGTACATGTGTGTGTGTGGGATTGTTTGCGAGCGAGTGTGTGTGTTGTTTGGAGCATACATACAGTGAAAATTGTTTATATATAAACTACTGGAGTTTTGAGTGTTTGAATACAAGTTTTAAACATTTATAACAAGAGTTGAATGCAGGAAGAAAACAGAATATTAACAGCGATATTAAACGAAAGAGAGAGGGAGAGAAACAGATAGAGAGAGAGGGAGAGAGAGAGAGAATGTATGTGGAAGGAAGCTGAAGGCAATACTCTAAAAGGATTTAATTTGGTTGCCAATGCAATAATTTATGATATAATTATTTCGTATTTATTAGTTTTATTAACTACATTTATAATTTGCAGTTATGCCAAATATCAAATATTCGTTTTACGAGTAGAATGAGCTGAGATTTCGTTGAATTGTTTTTCTTCATTTATATTAATATTATTTCTAGTATATGTATAGTATATATGTGCGTATGATTAAAAAGTTATTGTACTGTACGTATCGAATATCAAATACTTATTATAGTTTAAGTGATGCCTGGTTAACAACTAACAACAAACAATAAACAAAACGAAATGCATTTAATTAAACGTCGTCAAAACTAATGTGTATAATTACAATAAAAGTGCTTTGCAAGATGTGCACTAATTAACAATAGATGCCATTTGAGATGAAACTGAAATAGGTGAGCAACTGCAACAAAAGCAAATAACAATAAAAGCAAATAACAACAGTAATATGAAGAACAATAAGGTGTGCATTGGATTATTTGTGTTAAGCTACGAAATAGTAAACAAAACTTATATTAAAGAGAGCTTATTTTTGCTATAATTGACAAACAGCACCAGAAGGCAAAGTTAAACGCAACTTTATAAGTACATATATATATACATATATATATATATATATATATTAAACAATTGAAAAACAAAACAAACGACATACGATCGAGTATGTGTGTAATTATTAATTAATACAAATCGGATGGCAAGATGAGAATATTTCAAATATTGCTAAATGTGCAGGTAATCACAAGTTCACATGTATACAGAAATATACATACATATTCATTAACATATGCAATATGTATATATATACATACGTATATGTATATATATATATTTGTAACTAATGGTTCGCAATGGCATTATTTTTGCAAAACACACAGCCGGCGCCGAGCAAGCAAGTTAAATAATAAATTTATAGTTACAATTACCAAATAGCTCATGTATACAGAACGTTAATGAAACTCTATTGCTAAACGCCTAAACTAATTAACTATCACAATGTATACTATCTAATACTATTTATTTATTGACATCAGATCGAATAAAAACACGAAAGTAAATCGAGTCCATCAGCAAAACATGTCGATTTCGATCTGAAGGCCATTCAGGTGAAGCGCAGCTTATTTTGCCATTAAAACAAAGTAAATAAATAAATAAAAATACAAAAAAAAAAAAACAAAAAATAAAAAACAAACAAACAAAACAAATATATAAACAAAACGCTAAAAATAACAAATTTCAACTTAACTTGGCAAAAAGTGACATTAAAATAAATACATACAAAATACATTACATATTTATTAATTAAAATGCAAATAAATTATTGCTTTTTATTCCTATGGGAGGGTGGCGCCACTTTTAACTAATGAGTTTTTACACCCACTTCAAACGGACATTCATGCAACATTTATTAGGGGGCGTGACAGACCTCATAAAGGGTATGAGTTCTTGACCAGGCCAACAAACTGAGTGCATCTATCCATGCTCGTATGAACACAGAGATCTGGCAAACTAGAAAAGTATAGTAACAGTAATTTGGAAGTCAATATAATGTCATTTAATTCTACTCGTCCATAAAGTGAGACGAGCATATTCGTTTTGTGCAATGTCCAACCGCCCGCTTGTCCTCATATTTCGTCGCTGTTGAAGCGAGAGAGAGAATCTGAATAGATAATATTGAAGGTTTTCCAGATACGCCCATTAGGGGGCGTGGTAGCTCTAGAAATACTATAATAATAACAAGTAAGAAAGCTCTAGTCGGGGTGCCCGACTAGGAGATACCCTGATCCCAGTCCTTTGAGTTTTGTAATATTTTCCGTAGTTTGTATCGAGTATTAAAAAAAATAAGAAAACAAATAAAAATCGACATTGCGAGACCAGGATTCGAACCCGGATTATTTGCGCAACGTGCACAAACTCTACCAACACCGCCACTTCATAACTAAAAAAAAAAAATAAATAAATAATATAAAACAATAAAAAACATTTCATCTCCTCTGGTCTCGAACCCGGACCAAGCTGCATCCGAGAGGTGCCTCTACCAACGCAGCCACTGCCCTTCTTACGCGAGCTGTTGCAAATTTGAACATAAGTAGCAGCTAATAATTCAGCACAATTCAATCGCAATTTCAATTCTTGGAATAGAAAAGTATACACGCATTTGAATGTATGTGTGCACACGCATAGGAAAAATGCGTGCGCGTGGCGCTGCTGACATGTGCTTTTGCAAATTGGCCAAACGTTTTGTTTAATAACTTCTGTTTTACTTAATGGATTTTAATGAAATTTTCAGCATATGATCTACATATCCTATTGGCTTGGTTGAGATGCAAACGCCTTCACATAATGGCCCTAGTTCCAACTAAACTTAAATTCTAAGAATTTGGGGGAATTTGGAGCCGGTATCCAAAATCCAACAAAAATCAAAATTGCATAAAATATACATAACACTAAATACAAAATTTGGAGGCTCTAGCTCTTAAGACGTTCGAGATATAATTTATTTACTGCATTTCAATAATGTTTTTATTCGATAACAATTAAATGCGAATAGTTATCGAATATTTGAAACAAACTTGACCTGCGCGTGCTATACACGGACCTACAAAAAAAATTTCAAGTCTCTAGCTCTTATAGATGCTGAGATCCACGCGTTCACACATACGGACAGACGGACAGACGGACAGACGGACAGACGGACAGACGGACAGACAGACAGACGGACAGGGCTCAATCGACTCGGCTTGTCGTCCTGATCAAGAATATATATACTTTATGGGGTCTGCCACGCCTCCTTCTGCCTGTTACATACATTTGCACAAAACCATTATACCCTGATTTCCCATTTTTAATGGGATCAGGGTATAAAAATAATAATAATAATAATTAGAGCTAAATATTTGACATTTTGGAATGACAACTTGAGTAAGTGAATTTATAGTGTGTATATCAAGGTCCTCTGGAGGGCGTGACAAGTCGAGTAAATTGTTTCTTTCACAGTTATAGAGCTCGACTTAGCACCTTTTGGACATGCAGTCGTTGACACCCGACTGCAACATTTTCGCTTATTTTATTGGATTTCTTTGCAGTTGAAGAGGCCAAAGTCCGCTTTGGTTTCGATTCTGGCCGCTGTTGCAATCCAATAAAAAAGTTGAGCTTTTAGGCAAATGCAAATCGACTTTCGTCTATCTCAGAGGCAGCTGCACGCTTTTAGCTGCAGTCTGGCATTAAAAATGCAATTCGTACTGCATCTGTAGCTCGACCCAACTTGATTACTGGCAGGGAATTCGCTAACTTCGAAATGTCCATTCGACACACTTTAAAATGAAAAGCAGATGAGGCGAGTCGAACCGACTGTGTCATACTCGTTCACAGTCGCATAACAACTACTTAAGAAACGTGTGTCTCTAGCTGCTTTCTGATAACATCTCAATCAAATCTGTTAAAGATCATTGTAAATGGGCTTTATCATCATTGTGATTGGAGCAACCTCTAGTTGGATGGTCTCGCTACAAAGGAGTTCTACTTGCCTGTTCCCTTCCATTTTGCTGAAATGCCAAAAGTGTAAAACTTGTTTGCCAATAGCTACACACGTGTTGGACAACATAGACCTAACGCTGCCTTACGCCTTCTGCCACCCCCATCTCAATAAAGTGCTAAGTATGCGAAGGTAAACGCGAGCGTGACTGTGGCAAATAACTGTTAAAGGCGCTAGGCCCCAAACGTGGCAAATGTTTTTTTGTTGCCTTTCCTCTTGCAACTTTTTGACTCACAACGAACGCCCAGTGGAACACATTGCAGAGCTCCAACTGTCGGTGATACCAAGGCTTGAACTGATGGTCCATGAGAGGAAAGTATAAGATATTTTATTTTATTTTTACTTAATCTTCTTTACTTTTATAAACTGTTCAGATATTAATTTTATTTTAATTGACGAGTAGCTGACGTTTAATAATAGTCAAACCAGCTATGATATATGTATTTTATAGAAGTGATTTATTTTTATCAGCAAACCTCGCTTTCTCTCTGGATGCCTGGATTCGTGTCGATTCATGAATTAGATTCAGCTTAGACAGTTTGATTCTCAAAAAGCCTTTGGCAGACTTGAGCGCTGTGGAGCTCAGAAGTAAAATTTGATGGTGTAAACAGATTCTACGAAATGAATTGATTTTACAGGTGTATATATATATATATTTATTTATATATATTCACGTATATAAATTATATGTTTTCCAGTCCTGTGGTGACTGAAAGTTAGGTTGAGAGGCGACTGTGCCTCTTATTGCTGGCCTCGGGCTCAGACAATGAAATAAGCCATTTAACGAGCAAATGACGGAGTGAATATTTATTTAAGCGGTTTACTGGAAGAACGCTTTTTAACCCTGCTTTTAATTGTTCTTTTTTGAATAATCGAAACAGTTAATTTTATTGGTTTTTCTTATTATATTCACTATTTTTAGTTTTACTTATATGACACCAATTTTTAGCATGTCCTATCAGTACGAGTTAAAACACGAGACTCATCTATATTTTTACAAATCATAGCCTCACCGGCGTAAGTAGAGTTGCCCTTGCCAGGGCTGTTCCTTAACTTGTCTAGCACCCGATAATAAGTGTTGAATAATACCTAACATTAAGTGTTATAAGCTAACTAAGTGTTATAAGTTAACTACCCCCCCCCCTCAAGTGTAA